TTGCTTGCTTGTTCATTCATTACGTTGCCGATACTGATGCCGATCTTCTCTATATCTCAGTATAGCGTATAGTCAGACGACTGTATGTAGGTGCAGGCAGTTTGAAAATTAAGCCATTAGTTAGCCATAAAATGCACAAAAATATACTTTTCGGACAGTGTTCTGCAGCGACTATATGAGTATCTAGATTATTATCAGGCGCCATTTTAAGCGCCACATTAAACAGCGCCGCGCCCGCATGCGCCATATAGCCACAGAAAATGTCGAGCGCATAAAAATGCATTTTTATTAACATAAAAGCCACATTTATTGGACAATCGGAAAGAAGAAGAAATTGAGGCTGTGGCTGTGGCTGCGGTTGCGGCAGCGGCTGTGAGAGAATTCCAACACAGAAGTTCCGTATCACACGTCATTTAATTTGTAGCACGGCTCTCCCTCCAAGGTCAGTGCGGGGTCAATGGCAGCGGCACGCACTACCAACGGCTCAGTGGCTAGGAAAGACCGACAGACAGACAGTTGGGAGTAAGTGAGAGAGAGAGAGAGAGAGAGTTTGTTAGATGGATGACTAATAAGCGTCGCCACAATTAATTGAAATCCACTGATATGCATCTGCCGAATGGCTTCAGATACAAGCAAATCTCATTAACGCGCCCAAGATAAAGCCACTGTATGATATGGCCCAGAGAGTCGGCCGCATTCTTGCCAGTATTCCAGCTCAGACAGCCACAGCCACAGCCACAGCCACAGCCATAGCCAGAGTATTTCACATACATTTTGTTCAGTCAAGTGTACCCTCCTCGGTGGCGATGCGACGGTGGCATTGGCGCTCAAATCGGCCTTTTATTTGGTTTTCTTTTTTGAATAGCTCCCCAAAAGATACGGGCATTGTGGCTTATAAATGCATGCAGATACAGTTTTGGAGTCAAGCGGTTTGCATTTGTACGTGTGTACGATAAATAAAATGAATGCGATTGTTAATTAGTTGTTTTTGTTGGAGCTCAAGTCGGTGTTGTTGTTTCTTATCATGGCATGAGCTTGTCTCTTCTCTTAAGCCAAATCGAGCAGATCAGCCGATCAGCAGTAGGCAATGGAATGGAATTTTGTGGCTCGCAGATGGCAGCTAGGGATTAACCATTACACTTAGCAGCTTTCATTCAGCAAGCAAATTAAAATATGCCATATAACAGGACTGATATATGTTTTTATTATACTGCATGTAAACTGTATCCGTGTGTATTTGTTTTCCAAAAATTCCACAAGAGTGCGATTAACGACGATAAATTGGGGCACATTTCATTTGCTTCAACCATATGACTAATTGTCTCCAATTCAAGTAATTACTTAACATAAATCTAAAATAGAAATATGCGCCTAGACTCGGAAAGTTTACGAATATATCGCAATGGGTTACGACCGAAGCTCAGCAGCAGAAATGGAACAGCCTGCAAAATTGAAAGTAAAGGGGAAATCATTCTTAGTCGGACAACTTATCGGTCGCTTCAAGAATGACCGAATAATGTGCAAATTAGTTATAATGGAGCTGCAACTAACAACCCATAGGATGTTCTGGATCTTCAGAGTATAAAGATTGATATCTTTTTGCGTTTGATTGGACAGTAGACTTACGGGAGGATTAAACTTTAACATTCCTTTCCGTGTAATAATGTATGTTGTAACAGCTTGGCAGTAGTTTTAGGCGCTGTTTTGTGGCTAATGCACTAATTATAACGAATTTTTGTAGCAACCATAAACATTTCAGTTCATCTCCAGCTTTCCTACTATATTCATTTTTCCCATTTTTGATTGAAATTTCATTTTATAGGATCTTTTTGCTGAACTATAACTGGAACATGTTGACTCAACACTGTAATATTCCGGCGTGGTTCTTACGAATCCAACGAACAATACATAAATATAAGTATTTTATTCCACATAGTTGATATTACACTCTTATTTTTGTGGTGAAACATTATGAGGCCTATATTGTGATAAATATAAAATCTGAATTGCATCATTATCATAATACCCCACCTGGTATGATAAATATAATCCGCAGGATATTATTATGTATACGGGCCAATCGACTGATGGGGCCCCCGTAATATCCTCAATAAAAATTCATTGCCTAAGCATTTATGCTGGATACTGAACTAACAATTGAATAACTGTGAGGCTTGTCCATTCCATAAATTCTAGTCGCTCCTCAATAAAAATTCATTACCTAAGCATTTATGCTGGATACTGAACTAAGAATTGAATACCCGCGAGGCTTGTCCATTCCATAAATTCTAGTCTTTCAAAATGCCTCAAGGGCACCGCATCAAAAATATTGAAATTGTTCGAAAAATGGAGAGTGGACAGGAGATCAAAGTGAACTCTTGGATTTTTAGCAACATTATTAGCTTTACAATCTGGACTACCTACTCCGGTTGCCTTTTCATGGGACTCGGTCGGCTTAGATTCGACTACGAAAGATATAAATTAGTTTTGGCAGAGCCACTACGGACTTTTCGAATAATTTCCTGGCTTTTGAGGGTCATTGCGATCCTAATTGACTACCCATATATTTTTGTAGTCATGCAATATATGTACTGGAGACTTGCTGAGAGCATTCCGGAACTTGCAGACTATGGGACATTATTTGGAACCACAATGTTTATTGTCACAGTCTGGCAGTATTTTCGTTTGTTAATTTTGGCTAAAAACAAAAACTACAACAAACTCCTGATAGTGACTATCAATAATTTAGTCGAACTTCACCGAGATGTTTGCGAATGTTTTGGCGACAATCATTTTGAGTGTGAGACACATATTCTGTTTATCTCTGTATTGAAAAGTGGAGCCACCTTTCTCCAAATCTACAACTCAGTATTGAATATACAACCCAAAATAATCATGTTCCAAACGATAATATTCGACATGTTCTACTCTGCCTATTTTGCTTACCAACTCCTTCTAATGGCGTGGTATAAAGCGTTTCAAGGTTTTGTCAATCAATATTTGGACTTGCTGCAGAGTGGACGAGTTCCGGGTCTACGTATGCGTAAAACTCTTCTAGAGACTTATAGTATTCACACACGCATAAATAAAGAGCACCGCAATGTGGTTCTTCTCTGGCTACCCATCTCTACTGTTCTTTTTACCGCCATAATTGGCTTAACATATGATTTATCTGATGTGGCGTACACTGTTCTGTTTGAAAATAAAAAGAGTAGAACAGATCGATGGATATATGTTGTGCATAATGGGCTAGGTTCTTGTACTGCTCCTCTCCTGAAAATCCTTCTTATTGGACTGTGCAACGATCGGATTGTCGAACTGAATAAGCGTTTCATGGACACTATTTTTCTGATCGAGTTGCTGCATTTGCAAATGAAAGCCGCATATTTCTCCAGGCTCCTGAGAAGCAAAGTAAGTGGTGATAATAACTGATAACTCTCTAAAGTCATCTCTTTTGTAGAACACTTGTCTCGGACTGCAATAGCTTGTGCAACCTATAAGAAATTACATATGGACTTGGGGATATACCTGTGATCGAAAATTCGTATTGCTGTTCGCTTGGTCCGCCATTTTGAATTCAGTATCGAATCTGCAACTTTTTGAATCCGGTAACAATAGATTCTTTTAGACTAAAACAAGTGGAAATGCTAAAGTCGGGTGAAATACTCTTTACATATATATGCGTAAAAAAATGAACATGTACCTGCTTCGGGATTAAAAGTCATGTTGCTTCAGAAAAAAAAACTTCCACGCTTAGTATAGGACATCTGTGAGCAAAATTAAATATCTAGAGAATATATATTCTTGGCGGGCTCTGCCACGCCTCCCGAAACCTAATATACTATACTTCTATACCTTTTAATTACTGAATATAAAAATCTGAAAAAATGGTTCGATTTAAGATATTCGAATGTATATATATGACTAGCTTTCTGCGCATTTATCCCGGACTTTATTTATTTTGTTGTTTAAAACCAATTAACAGTTGAACCTGAAAGGAAATCTTGTTTGCCAATTTTTATTTCTAATTTAGCAGCATTCACTATGCTTATTTGTATCTCTGCAGAATTAATATTTGTGTAGCAATTAAACTGCCTTTTATATGGCTTTGCTGGTCTATAAAACCATTCAATAGAGTCCATCAAAGTGTCACAAAATTTTTATTTGGGTTTCTTTACGACAATTTAAACGTTTCTTGGCTTAGGTTTTTTTTACGAGTTTCGGGTTGCCTTTGTCATATACGAGTATATTTTAATTATCTGCATTTGGCGACATCTATTTGATTTTGAAAATTATGCATTCAAATCGAAACTAGAATCATTTGGCAATTGCTTGTGTGGACTGAAATTTATGCGCACAAGCAATTCAGTTTTCATTTTCATGTTGTTTAAATGCCTTTTTGTTGCTGTTTAGGCAAATTTTTGTAGATGTTTATCTCGTGTCGACAACAATAAAATTGTGTTAATTTATGGGAAAGTATTGCTGCTCTCGTATACCTGCATGTACGGGTATCTCTCGGGTAGATGCGTGCCACTGATAGCGAGCGGCTTTAAGCGCCAATCCAACTCAGACATCTGTAAGATATCGAGAATAATAAGCGCCGGTCGCAGTCCATGAATGGGGGACTGGGGACTGATGGCTGAACTTGTTTCTCAGCCGCTTGTTTTTGTGTCTTCATTAAATTACGTTTAATCATTTATGCAGATTTCAATCAATGAGCGGAGAGTCAGTCAGCCAGCCAGACGGCCATCGATGCGATTTGAGATACATTTCCGTTTTGCATAAAGCTTGTTGCCATTTGAATTTCAATTTGTTGCAATTAATTAGTTTTTGGAGTCAGTCTGTCGTTGCTGTCTGCCCGATAATAAAAGTGAAGCTTCAGATATTTATCTATTCATGAATACAATAAACAATAGATGTTTTTGTTTTTTCTGAGCGTGTTCTTTTTTGTTCGTTTTTTTTTTGTTTGTATATTTTTATTACAACTATTTACAGCTTAAATGGTTAAGATCGCTATGCTATATACAAACTGCTAAGATACTTTCGATAATACTTAAGAATGGACTGCAGCAAAACGTTGTTTGTTACTGTGGTTATCACGCGAAATGGAAAGCTTTCAATGTTCATGACTACTACGACTACTCCTAAGTGGTTCCTTTCTTATTCTTCCGCTTCTCCCCCCCGATCTCCGATCCTGGTGGTGTCTAGAGGCACGTGTTGACCTCCCGATGTTCGATACACTTCTCGCAGGTCACCTCACAGCACCATTTGAAGACGCACTTGCAGTTGGTCGACTCGGGCACCACCCGATGTTTGTGGCCGCGACTGCAGCACAACAGATCGCAGCTATCGGCCCCCGTCGATGTGGCATTACATTCCCGATCCTGAGTGCCCAGGGCGCCTGTTTTCGGGTTGGGCGTGCAGAAGTCTGGGGAATCATCAGCATAGACCAGTTGGTATTTGTTCGCCTGCTTGGTGTGTGGCGTGTCGGGCATGAAGCTGTTGCCATCGTTCCGCAGGGCCACCTTCCGGGCATTGTCGTATCTGTCGCGCAGACGTCCTGCCACCTCGCGAAACGGTGGCATCTTCAGCCAGCAGGTTTTGACCGTGCAGGAGCCGGAGAGGCCGTGACACTTGCACTCCAGTCTCATGGCGTCCCGAATGGCCTGCAAGAAAGGAGCAGAGAGTTGTAAAAAGTTGAAAACAATTAAAATGAAACCAACTTAAGACTTTTAATGTTAAATTAGCTTTGAATTTTTAACACGCAGTTGTCAACACGTAGAAGAATCAAGCCTCTTTCTAGGTCTATCTATCTATCCATCTATCTATCTATCTATCTATCTATCTATCTATCTATCTATCTATCTATCTACCTACCTATCTATATATCTATCTATCTACCTACCTATCTATATATCTATCTATCTATTTATCTATCTACCTACCTACCTATCTATCTATCTATCTATCTATCTATCTATCTATCTATCTATCTATCTATCTATCTATCTATCTATCTATCTATCTATCTATCTATCTATCTATCTATCTACCTATCCATTTATCTACCTTTCTATTTATGGTGTTCTCTTTGATAATTTTATAGATCATGCAGATACTTTCTTCTTCTTTACAGTGATTTCCTCAATTAGTTATTTGATGCAATAATTTTTAATTTTCCAAAATCAATTTCTAAAGCCAATTTTAAGTTCTCATATCTAGCTTTTGATGCTATATCTTAATTGTATCTTCAATTTAAAAACTGTAATTTAATCGGAATTCTCTAAAAAAAAATGTTGTTTTTGCCCAGATGTCCTATTCATGTGGAGTATAATAATTATTTGTTACTAATCACTTAGCGCTTGTGCATTTCAAACATAAGGAGGTGTCCTATGTAAATGGCCAGGAGTGTATAATAAGATCTTAGTTATGCGTTCATATACATACAATAGTAAGTAACTGGCCTTTATTTAAAGGCTAAACAGCAGGTGAGAAATGGAATAGAAGGCACAGCATAGAGTCTTTTGAGAAACGGAGAAACTCTTCCTATGTTCCTTAACTACTTTATAAATACATTTGGGTTATAATGAATATACGTCTTAAAGTCTAAACTAATTATTTTACAATACGATCTTCACAAATTGTATTGGAAAACTAAACAGTTAATGAGCTTAAAGCAAAACCTAGAGACCACATTTCAAGCATAACTAAAAACTAAATTTTCTAAGTAATTGAAAATACTTGTATTTGAAACATATTTTAACAGCTAATTTTCTCTATATACATCCATTTTCCTACCAGTCGTCCCGCATTGTTGTTGTGCAGCTTGACCAGCGTTCCCAAATCGCTGCGTCGCTGTCGCTGCTTAGCATCCAGGAAGGCGCGCGAGTGTCGCAGGCCGAAGTTCACATTATCGCTGCAGCCGCCCCACTCCCATTCGCCCGAGGGGAACTTAATGTTATCCCAGAATTTGCGACGGCCACGTTTGCCGCCGCCATTTGCTCGATTTCTGAGCCTGCCCATCGCTGTGCTGCCTGCTGTGCTATTCGGAGGATGCTGTTGTGGTTGCTGGCGCAGCAGCGCCGCCTGCTGTTGGCGCTCAAGCGCCGCTTCCGCCGTTGCTGCGTTCACCATTTGGGGCTGGCCGCCATTGCGTCGCATGTGGGATTTGTCGCAGGAGCACTCGACCAGCTGGCCCATGGTGCAGGCCTTGGTCACTGCATAGGTAACACCTGCCGCTGTGATGGCATTCACAAAGCCCGTTTCGCGGGAGTCTGTCGAGGAAGAGTTACAAAGGTATTTAAAACACAAAGTCAATAAAAAAAACGAAAATTGTTCCCTATTTAAAATGTGAAAGTATGTTTATGGTTCAGCAAGTTTTTAGTACGTTTGTAGAACTTCTAATAAAAGCTTTTATTTTTATTCGTTCCATCAGGTGTCCAATTTTTGTTCAGCTCATATATTTAAGCTAAATAATTATACAAAATTCTTCACTTCTTCTTATGACTCAGAACCTCTCAGACAAGTCTATGTCCATTCGTTTCGTACTGCTGATCATATACTTGTATGTTATGTACCCATGATATGAGTCTGGCATGCATCTTTTTGATTGTTTTAGTGTTAAAAGGTACTATTGTGAAGCAGTAGGAAATTACCAACTAGCTTTAGATTCAGATTAAGGAGGAGGAAACAAAGTCTGCTGTAGAGGAAGGAATTGGATTTAACTGAAAAGCCAATTTGGCGATCAACCTGCTGGACAATAGCGAACGGACCAGGAGGCTGCTCAGGACCTATCGTCTGGACCTCCACAGAGACTAGCCGGATACTACAACCTCATCATACATGAAATAAATCAATTGTCAAGTTTATATAACCAATTTAATAATTATACACGTTGGACAGTTTTAAATAAAAACACGCTGCTAATACAAAAAGAAAAAAAAAACTGTGTTAATTTACAATCCAGACCTTGAGCCTCCTAAGCAATCACACAGATTCTCAATAGGTGGCTTCTTAGTGCAACTTCCAATAACTCTTTCAAACACTACACATTTTTCATTAAAAGGAGTAGCTCTCAAAAAAAAAGAAGAAAAGCCCTTTAAAACAGCAGAAACAATGAAGGAAGTCGATGAAATATTTTTTCACAATAATTGCATTTAATCGTTATCTTTAAACTTGAAGTGAGCCCCGATTATGGGGACAGTGAGAACGAGTTGTTGTCATACATGTCGTATGATTGATTTAAATACGTAGCTTATTAATTTGTCATCTTGTTCGCTGATATCGCACCACAATGATTTATGAACACACATTGTCAACGCAATACAACGCAACGCAACATGCAAATTAATGCCGTGCCCATTTAAATAGCTCTCGGGGCGATTTAATTGCCGTCAGTCACGTTCAATGGAAATCGAAAGCGCGGTTTCAGTCACAGTCGCAATCAAAATCGCCAGTCAGTCAGCCAGCCACCATTTACATATGTTTGTAATGCTCGTGTCGTGTAATGCTCGCGCATTTTATCAGCACTTAGTTGGCCGCCAAGCGGTCTGTATGTGTATATGTATTTGTCGTCTGACAGGTGATATGTCTTGGAACAGCCTTCCAAAATAAAATAAGAGGGGGGAGAGAGAGAGAGAAACAGAATGGATTGTCGTCTCATTAGTTGCTCGCATTTACTCATCGACTGACAAGTTGACAGTCGAGGGAAAGCCGCGGCTGCGAGTGCGATTTAAGCGAATCTGTTGGATTTATGGCTTATAATTTGGTACTCGTATGTGTTTTGCTTGCGCATTGTTGTCATTAAGCAGGCCGAGTCTGACATTCCACACAGTCAGTCAGACAGTCAGGCAGTCAGGCATTCAGTTAGAGGGACAGTCAGACACGACACGCCTTGCACTTTTCGCCTTGGTGCGCATTTTCTTCCTTTTTGCGCCTTTTTCGGGCAATAATTTATTAAAATTGACAGCTTTGTAGGCTCATTGCAGGCGCTATTCATCAGCAGCTCAACATTTTTATTATGCAACTTGATGGATGATGCGGTTGCCGTCCCCACGACACTTGCGACGACACTGTAATTAGGCAGCAATGCACTTTTCTGCACTCCTGCCACACTCTCAAGGCACAAAAGTGTTGACAGGCCGCCTTCCATGCTGCATAATAAAGCAGCAACATTTGCCATTTGCCGTTTGCCATTTTGGCTTGGCTTTTGTCAAGCGCAATTCCATATGCAAATTTTTGTTAGCCACTTGCTACTGCCAACACCACCAGCGCCACCAGCACCACCATTACAAGTGCCACTTGCCACTTACCGCGCATTAAAATTTTCCTCATGCTCTTGCGCAGCACTGTGCAGTTCCAGCGACGATTACGAAATTGATATTCGCATTCTCGGAAGCCCAGACTGATGCCATTGATTATCTCTTTGAGTAGAGCGGAATCATGCCGGCAGATTTCGGCCAACTTGCCACGCAGACGACGTGTCTTTTTGCACATTAGATTTGGATCGAGTAAGATGTTTGTGCCCTCGGCCCTGCAACAACAAAAAGAAGTAAAGGTGGCTATAGTGTGTGGGTTGTTCAAATAGATATAAAGATTATAGTTACTGTTGACTTTATGTCGTTCTGTGAACTCAAAAGAAGGATATATTTACAAAAAATCATTTTTAGAGCATTTGGAAAGCTACCTTCCGACTGATAGAGACTTATAAATACTTATGGTTTTATACCCAAGTCCGCAAAATAGATTTTTCCTTCGACTCTTTATTAAAACTAGGAGCTATCTCTCTAGCTTATGGCCATTGTTCAATCAATTGTACTTTTTTTGTTCCAAGCAATTGTTTTCTCTATATTTAATGCTTATAATAGTGTGTGGGTTGTTTAAATAGATATAAAGCCTATAGTTACTGTTTACTTAATGCTGTTTTGTGAACTCAAAAAAGGATGTATTTTAAAAAAATCTTTTTTCTAAGCATTTGGAAAGCTACCTACAATTATCGCTGAACCTTCCGACTGATGCAGACTTATACTTATGGTCCTCCTTCGACTCTTTATTTAAAACTAGGAGCTCCCTCTCTAACTTATGGCCATTGTTCAATCAATTGTACTTTTTCTATTCTAAGAAATTGTTCATCCTATATTTAATGCCTATAATAATCACAAACCGTTTCGTGTAAAGCAACAATTTTCCAATTTAAAATTAAAATTCGAGCTGTAAATATTATTTGGTTGCAACATATTTTCAAAAATTCAAAATAAAATAAATATTTATATCGAAATTAGTATTTCTTTATAAGTAGAAATGTTTATTTAGTTCTCAAAGAAATGCTTAAGATTTGACTTAATTTTCTTATACTTTTTTTGGGGCTTTAAATTTATTTTAGTTCTTTCTATACAGTTTTATTTTTACTTTAATGTGTTTTCCCCTTGCCACATAAATAAGCTGTGGATTTAAGTCCAGAAAATAAATAAACTTGTTCACTGAAATCGCAAAATAAATAATTATCTCTTAATGTAACTGAGGAGTGATTAAAAGTTGGCGCCTTCTTGGACACCATTCAGGAGGCAAGTTCATTAAAAATAGTTTGCTATATTTTTGCAAAAACAGCAACAACAACAACAACAACAAAGTTTATTTGCACAAGTCGAGCAACAAAAATACACACAGGCTGGCTGTAGAGTAGGTTGAACTAATTTTCAATCAGTCAGCCGGCATACGCGGCGTATACGCGATGGCAAGCAGTTAACGCCATGGCTGCAGCCACAGAGCCCGTCCCCACCCTGTTGGGCATCCCACTCGGACAGAGCTCAGATATACACACAATAGGCCCGATTGTTTGTTATTGCAAGCGAAGCTGCGGCGGCGGTCAATAAAATTGGAAGCATACAAACATACTATATATGTAAGTATGTGCTCGTATATAAAGATACTTATAAGCAGATAGGCGTTTGTAGTATAGACGAGTGTTTTCATTTCGTTTTTTGTTGTTGTTAGCAATTTTCCGATCGATGCAATTTTTGCAATTTTCGTTTTCATTTTTAATGCCATTTCGCTCGAGCGGCGTTAAAATTTAATTTAGGTGGAAAATTAATAATTACCCAACAATGTGGGTGCAGTTGAGCATGCGTCGTTCTTCCAGCGTCCGGCCCTCTTCCGCCCTCTCCCTCCGTCCCCTCACCCGGCATGTGTCAGCCACCACTTGGTGGCTGGGGATTGTGGCGTGGAAATTGTTTTCGTGCGCGCCTTTGCGCTGATTTATGTTTTTCCATTTAAGATTTATGACTTTTTAATAGCTCGATTGTTCTTACAGAGTTTCGCATTTTGCATTTCGCATTCGCGTGAAATTTGCTCGTGAACTTTGTGCAATTAAAGTTTACTCTACAGGCATACTTTCCTACTCATATACATACTCATACTTATATATGTATGTATGTGGGCACATGTGTGGTGGTTTTTGTTTGTTGTTGGGGTAAATGAAAGCGTAAAGTGTTTTATAGACTTGTCGGCTACCGATGATGAGATTGCCGTGGAGATTGTGTGATTAATGAGTAGTCTATCGACTGGTCGGTATATTTCCTAGGAATTCGCGCTATTTAAGGCACTCAATAGAATGAATTCACATTGTTCCTATGCTGAGTCATGGCCAGACAAATGGTAAAGTGATACAATTGGCAATTCAAATAGAGCTCTAAATGACAAAAAAACACGCATAGATGTAGAAAATAGTAAGAAAATAGGCAATTAGTGGCAGAGACAATTAAGCAGGCGGTCATATTTTAAAATAGTTGAGTTATGGCTGAGTTATATCTGATACACATGAGAAGATATTGACCTGACCCAGCAATAATGTCAAAAAAAATTGATTAAAAAGCAGTCTACTCCAAACATTATAAATAAGCTACATATTATGATGAAATAACCCAGACTAGTTGAAATTCGATCTGCCTTCAAAAAATGTAATCAGAATCGCATGATAAAGAAAGCTATCAACAGAGAGGCAAATATTTTGAACACAAACTTTGAAATCTTTTAATGAAGCTCATGGTCTTTCAGTTACAATGTTAAAACCATTCCATTAAAAACGACATTTTACTACTGCATTTTTAATTAGTTTTGGGCTTCGTGCTCATATTTTGCTAAACTTCATAACTTAATAAATTCGTGAAATTTAATTGGGCCTTTCTACAAAAAACATGATCATTTTTTAAAAGAATTTGGGCTTAGAAGTACCTTTCTTTTTGCCATAACTTAATATGTGTCAAAACTTTGTAATTTTTTTTATATAAGTACATAAATATATAAGAGTTTATTTTATATACAAGTATACATATATTTATATTTTTTATAATTTTTGAATTATAAGATTTTTTAAATGAATAATTTTTTTTATAGTTTTGTAAGTACATGCAAAATTTTGTATAATTTTAAAAGTTTTTGAATATTTACTTGTGAATATTTTTGCATATTTTTATATATATTTGTTCATATTATGTTATTTAACTATATTTTTTGTGGAAGTTTTTTTTAGAAGTTGAACAAATGTGCTTATAAATGTTGTTAGATACTCAGTTATGGACTTTTCTAATTTTCCAAATTTGTGCTGCTTTTTTGCTTAGAAATGTTGGACTTGTGATGGAAACTTTTAATTTTAAGTCTCAAAGAACAGTAAGTGGTTATTTAAATAATCTGAATGGAATTAAGAATATCAAGATTTCTGTAATGAATAGAAGAAAGGATCAACATTATTTGTTTAAATAGTTTCTTCTATATTAGTAGCACTTCTTCTTTCATTTGCAAAGTTATTCAACTAACAACTTTTTCAAAACTTAGCAACCAAAAGTTGCTAAGTTAGAACAAAGAAGTCTATTTTTTTTCCTTGAACAACATGAGAAGACGAAACTATCAGCGTCTGTTTGTCCGCATGAGCTTTAATTAGAAAACAAAATCTTAGCAGATTAGTTGCAGATTATCCCCTATCTGGAAATATTTTTGAGTTCTAAGTATAAAATAAAGAACTCTTCTTCATAGATATTCTCTGCCTCGAAAGCTTGCCCGAGGAGGACGCTCTTTGCATGAAAACTCTATACAACTTCCATGGGACCACCACTAAAGTATCTTCAATATATCTGTATATATGTATATGCTTCCATGCCCATTGCTGTTGCCCACCTGGTGTTTGCGCAGCAGCGGCGCACTTCAGCCAACAACAGCAACAACAAAAAATAAGATACCATACAAAAGATTATGACAACTTAATAGCTACAAAATAAAAAACAAATAGAGCAGCCTGCCAGCTAGCCAGCCAGCCAGCACACACGCACAACACTTAGCTGGTGGTGTTGCTCCTCATAAGTACTAACAAAAATATTAACTTCAACAACAACAGCAACAACAACAACAACGAAGCAATGCTTGGCCGCCAAAAGTCAAACAGCAGAATTGATAGACGCGCTTGTAAACAAAGTAAAACAATTGAAGTTCAGATGCTGTGATGACGATGACGATGATGATGATGACGATGATGATGAGGATGTTGATGATGACGGCTCTCTTGTTGCTGCTGCCAATGCTGCCGATGCTGATGCTGTTGCTGTTGCTGTTGATGACTGGAGAGATCTAAAGAACTCAAACACCTTTCAAGCGTGCAGTCCGCGTAACCACACAAGTTGCCAGCCAACAACAGCAACAACAGCAGCAACAGCAGCAACAACAACAACAACAGCAGCATTTGGTTAAGCGGAAAATAGCCAGCGTGCGATCGCAAAGACCGATCCAAGCAGCAACGTTCGACACTTTTTGGTTTTGGTTTTGAAGTTGAAGTTTGGTTGGCAGCAGAAGCATCAGCAACAGCAGCGGCAGCAGCAGCGGCAGCGGCAGCATTGGCAGCATCGGCAGCAGCCTCGGTTGGCGGCAACTTGAAAAGAGCAACAACTTGAAGCGGGCAGGCAGGCCAACAGTCGGGCTGCTGGCGAGAGGCAGGCAGGCAACACACTTGGCCAACAAAGTCGACGTATCTTTATTTTGCTTTCACACACCACGCATCATTCCAAACAGAACTCCAACCAAATACATACATACATATATATGAGGTGTGTATGTGTGAGTGCGTGGTGTTGGTGTCGTTATGGGCCTCAATGGATTTTCAGTGATTTTTTGCTTTGATCAAAGTGCCCGTTTATAGCAGCGTGCTGGTGGCAGTGGTTTATCAGCCATCCAGCCAGCCAGCCAGCCAGCCATCCAGCTTGGTAGCTGCAACTGACAAGTGGTTGAAATTTCCCAGCCTGCGGTGTGGGTTTCTATGTAAATAGACAGACCATGGCCACAAGCGTTTGATTATTGACTCATTTTCGTGAGTCGCCAAATAGCGGCATGTCTTGCTTTCTTTTAACTGTTTGAGAGCATCAGGGTGACCAGAAGAGTTTTGAAGAATTTGAAAGAATTTTTTGTGCAAAATATCAGAGATTCTATAACTTATATAGAATGAGATTCGAATCCACTAAAATGAAAGGCACGCTTTTGATAAATACTATACAA